GGGAACCGTACATTTTTCCGGGATAAAAAGTAGCCTATTTGTTATTCTGATGCATAAACTATATTATTATAAAGTTTCATTAAAATCCAATAGGTAGTTGTTGTGTACTAAGCTGTATAAATTACTATAGTTTTTTAACTATCCCACAGGAACTGTTAAGTTTTCTGGGATGAAAAGTATCTAAAACGATGATCGGGGATATAAGGTACCACCATGCAAAAGTTCATTTAAATCGGTCCTACAGTTTCGGAGATTAGCCTGTACAAACAGACAAATAGACAGAGAAAAAAAAATTAAAATGTCTGGATTTGTTCTATTTCTCTTCTTACATCGCCTTGAATCGGTTTTTAGCATTTCTTTTCTATGTACAGACATTCGACCTCTACAGTTTTATTATATGTATTATGTATAGATCAATTATTAGCATCATGCGGTCGTCGAACCTATGATTTTTGGTATACTTGCCAGAACCGATAGCCGCTGTTACATCAGACATTTATTGGTTTAAAATCGTCACATAACATTGTATAATCGCTGAGTTTCGTCTAAGTGCTATACCGTGTGCGGAATATGGAATACTTATTAATATTACAAATGTGTTTTGTGTGTCAGTGCATTATCATGTTACAGTAAAACTACCAGTTATACTGTAACATGGTGTAAATGGTAGATAATCCTGATAATACTACGTAGCTTACTATAAAGTACTTTTAAATTCTTAATATATAGGAGTACCTACGTACACATAAATCTATACTAATATTATAAAGAGGTAAAGTTTGTGAGTTCGTGATTTTGTGTTTGTGAGTTTGTGACGTTGTAGGGGGTAATCTCTGGATCTACTGAACCGATTTAGATGAAATTTAGTAAGAAGATAGAGACCCTGAGAAGGACATTGGATACTTTTATCCCGGAAATCATCTCTTAAGAGTGTAAAAATGGGGAAAAAAGTTTGTATTGGGAAGGAACCTAAGGACTAACCCGAGCGAAGCGAGGGTGAGTCATTAATATAATATAAAGCTAGTATAATATAGTAAAATGCTTTATTATTTTAGTATATTCGTATTATGTAACTGTAATCAAAAATATGTTAATATATTTGATTGTAATAGTGTTCGTCCAGTCGAGATTCGACTACAATTACTCGTATTATTGAAAATTGGAGGAAAATATAAATATATAATTTACCTATCTATATAAAAAAACTGTACCTATCCAAAAAAATTTTATTGATAACACTAAAACTCGTTAATAGCTACTAAATAAAAAAAATGAAATCGGTTGACAAAGAGGAGAAAAAGGTACTCACTGTTTTATCTTTGCCTATTTACATATCGATATAACTATTATATCTCAATTATTACTTATTCTAGTTATTGCTAACAAGGGGGCATTTTAGGTTGGCACATTACCACACAGCACCATCTAGTTCCATGGTACGCTACGAGGCTTGTGTTATAGATACCAGATAGTTGATACACTACACATATAACTTTAAATACAATACATATTATAAATATAAACACCCATGACTGGAGTACAAACATTCATGCTACACAAATGAATGCTCCCAGCGGGACTCGAACCCGTGACCGTTGGCACAGTAATTAGGGTCACTACAAACTGATTCAAAAGTGTCGTTTTGAAATAAAAAAAATTATTGATTAAATATTGTTATTATATCTTCTTCTTCTTCTCCCTGCCCATTTCCCAATTACTTGGGGTCGGCGCAGTACATCCTCTGTACTGCTGAAAGGATTTGGCAAAAGTTTTACGACCGGCCGCCTGTCTGACGTCAACTTTCCTTGGGAATGCTATTGTTTATAGCGGAATATGTCTTATGATATGTCTCTTATATATATCTCTGATTATGTCTTGTAATATGATACACTTTCGATATTTTTGTCTTTTAAAACATTTTTTATACTATTAATTAAAGTTTAATGTTATTTTCGTATATATTTTAAAATAAATTTTAATCACACTATAAATTTTGGTTTGACGTTGTCAATTTTTTTCTAAATTATATCAATTAATGTATATTAATTACGTTAATGATACAACAATATTTTTTTGTGATTAAACAAACGAAGCAGGGAGTTCCGCTAGTATGCATTAAAGCAGAACAATCGAAAGTAATGTTAACGTGTTGAATTTACATGATTTTATTATATCCGTATTCCGCTCGCGATATCAGTGTCATAACGTTTGGGAATTAGAAAATCAGTTTGGAGGGTAATTACAAATCATTGTTATACTGTTTCGTGTATCTTTGCATGTTTTAGGAATATTTTTTCGAAACATAATATTAATATTGAATTTTTAAATATCTGCTAACCGAATTCTCTAACTAATCAAACAAATAAGTATTTCAGTCTTATTAAAAATATTCATTCATATAATTTTGACTTTTACATATAAGTTTTTATTTTTATGTAATTATATACGCAAAATAGTCTCTTACTGAAATATAGTCTACAAAAATATCTCTAGTTAAAGAGGTTAGCCAATAATAATAAAAATAAAATTAATAGTTCGATTATTTTTCTATAAATCTGTATTGTTGTAAGGATTATTGAATATACAGGTTTTTTTTGTTGGGACATTAATACATCATCATCTATGTAGTTTCATGGTAAGCTACGAGGCTTGTGCTATGGATACCAGATGGTTGACACACTGCGCATAACTTTAAATACATACATATTATAAATATAAACACCCAAGACTGGAGTACAAACATTCGTGATTACACAAATGAATGCCCCCAGCGGGACTCGAACCCGTGACCGCTGGCACAGCAAGTAGGGTCATTACAAACTGAGCCAAACATGTCGTCAAATATTTGTGCAATGTCACGGCATACACTAGTTATATAATGTTATCTTGTTTCTACTAAAATTACAAACGTGAAAGTTTAGGCGAATGGATGGATGGGCTCTTTTATGTAAAATCACCTGAAATGATTTTGATGAAACTTTACGGCAATATAGCTTATACATCAGAGTAACATTTACATATAAGCTTTAATTTAAAAATATATAGCAATACAATAATGTACTACACGGGTGAAGCCGCGGGAAAACGTTAGTAAGATCTGGTTTTCTAGTCTTATCATTAACACCATTCCCTTCAAGGTGGCAATGAATTGTAAAGTGAAATCGTCTCGTCACGCGTTACGCGCAATCAAGTCGACACATCTCGGTTTTGGTTCACTGATCATTTTTATTGCCTTTGATTTATACTATGATAGCTATTTGCCTTTTTGTTTGCAGTCGTTTTAGTCTAGGCCCTGAGTTCGAGTCCTGGGTTGGGGTAAAAATATAAATATAGTTTTAATTAAACTAGACTGATTCCACTCCTTTCCTATCTTTTTCTTTCTCTCTGCGTGGTTGCTTTGAAGAGGTCGCTCTTTTAGCGATTAGGCCCGTAGTACTATTTCTAATTTATTTATATTATGTATATATTTTATATTTATATATATATATATATATAATATAAATATAGAGTATCGTTAAGGGAGATGATAGTTACATACTTAGAAATATTTTATTAATTAGATTTTATTCGATTATCTTCAGAAAAATTAACAACAATTATTTAACAAAATGATATAGATAAATAATATTTAACATCTATAACATTATATGTGATATATTGTTTATTTTTAATTTAGCGAAAAAAAACATAATTAAGTACTTACTTTTTTTTTTAAATTATATTTTGACTACAATTATTTTTTTATATGCAAAGATCGATTGAACTCTAAAACCTTCTATTAAAGGTCAAATTATCGTACTTTTAACCTCGCAGTTAGACGGTCACTTACATTGTTTGCCTATTTGATAATAATCAATGTCCTCTTCATATATTATTTAAATATTAAACTATACTTAGATTTATATTTGAATTTTTTTTTTCTTAGCATCAATTTAAAAAAAAAGTGTTAAACCGTTTGTTAAGTTATAACATGGGAAATCTTAGATAGAGTGATCAAAAGTGATGTACATAGGCTACTTTAAAAGCTATAAGCTCAATTAGCCATGCTAAATTTTATAAAATATTTTTTTTTAAATATTTTTATTTTTAACCGGCTTTCAAAAAGGAGGACGTTCTCAATTGGTCGGAATCTTTTTTTTATGTACGTTCACCGATTACTCAAAGATGCCTGAACCGATTTGGAATTTTTTTTGTTTCAAAGGGTACTTACTTCCCAGGTGGTCCCATATAAATTTTATCGAAATCAGTCGAGCGGTTTTAAAAAAAATCAACAATAAATATATTTTTTAAATAAATTGTTTAATCGAATATGTTCATAAAAAACTTTTTTCTTACAAATTACCTGCTTATTACGATTACACTAAAAATGGAAAAATAAAAACGTAAAAAAAAACCAACTTCCAGGCACTAAAATGCAAAATATAACTAAACGGAGGTTTTCATTTAGAATAGATACCTAATCAGATATGTGTTTTCGAAGTCGGTGCTAGCCTATAATATTTTAAGATATTAATATGTAATAAATAAATATGTATTTTACGAATCGAAACATATTAGATTTGCTTTGCATCGGGACTCGAACCCGTGAACTCCAGATCTGCAGCCATACATGCTAGCCACTAGACCATCGAGGTGGTTTATTGTTTTCAGTTAATTTTTAAACTAGTTATGTATATAGAAGTTTTATACTTCTAGCGATTAATTTTCTTAAAACTTATCTAAATTTAAGCGCAGTTTTTTATGAAGTTGTTTCCACAAAAACAATATCACTCATTATTTTATACGATTCAAATTATGTTTTGGTATGTATATTATATTATTTTGTTTGGATGGAAAATTTTGTTTCGTTTTTGCGACTTCTTTAGGATACTGTTCAAACAGCCTTCGTGAGTTAAATATAAGCTTGTTGTTTATTTTAGATCTTATTAATAGTACAAATACGACAATTTATTTGTTACTGTATTTGAGCCTTAATATGTTTTTGAATTGAAAAAAAATTAAAGTAAAACAAAACCACTTCGTGGTGGGTCTGGATGATTAGAAGGTATTACACTTACTGACAACTGCCTCGGTGGTGTAGTGGCTAGCATGTACGGCTGCACACTCGAAGGTCCTGGGTTCGAGTCCCAGGTCGGGCCAAGTTTAGTTATTGAGTCTTTCTGTATAGTAAATCTCAGTAACAGCCCGGAGTTGGGAAGTTGGCGGTGCTTCACCTCCGTGCCTCGGAGAGCACGTAAAGCCGTAGCCGGAATCGGCCACGAGAACATCATTACACTTAGTACATATAATGGTCGGTATATCTATAAATAGAAAAATTGATGAGAGTATGTATGTTCACTGTAGACTGCAAAACGGCTGGAGCGATTTTGATGAAATTTTTAGGCAATCTTCAGGATGCTCCTGCGAAGTTTGGTAACGATTGGAAGTATGAACGCGGAAAAAGTCGCGGGTTCTGCTAGTTTTTCTATATATATACATCTTTACTAAAATATTTCTTTAGGTATTATGTACTAAGAATATATATTAAAAATATAATAACGATCGTATAAAGAATCTGATCATCGGAAAACCAAAAATTATAAAATTGGTAAGCGCTAAAGGAACTTTGCGTATCGAGGGTACCACCCCTCAAAATATGTACCTACAATTATATACATAAAATATATTTTTCCCAATACAATACTACCATTATTCTTAATAGCAATTGAAACAGTCAAAAAAGACAAAAAAGATTGTGGTAGGCTTAGAATAATTCGGAAAAAGCTCAATATTGCTAAAAGTTTTTGGTAGACTATTACAAATAAAATAATAAAAATCTCCATCGATCCTACATCTGGTTCAAAAAAATTATTTAAGTTCAAAAATATCGATTTTTTACATTTTTCTGGCAAACGGTAAGTGTTATCATTAAAATAGGTCAGACAAAAACTGTAAATAATACAATTAGCTACAAAATTGATCCTATATTTTTCCCTTTAGAATCATCCTTCCTGAGTTATCGTGATTATAAAAGCCGGAGAAGTTGTGTTCTATATACATTTCCGCGCCTCTCGAGGTAGTGTACTTGCCGCAATTTTAACATGGTTAAAAATATTCTACCACCTAAGTTGATTGAGATTTATTAAATAACATTATGTTATTTAAAAAGGGTGTTATTGAAAATGATACTTGACCTTGACCTTTTTTGTCCTTGAATAAATTTTTTAGCAGATGTAGCATCCGTGGGGACGTTTGATATTTTATTTTGAATACTCTACATCAGACCTGTGACAATTTTTAGCTTTATTATTACTATTAAATTAAATTGTCTATTTTGAGCGAACTATTAAGTAAGTTGTTTAAAAGTTAGCAAAATTACCTGTTGAAAAATTCACATATCACTAGTAAATAAATAAATTTTACTACACAAGCCCTCGTTAAGTTGTTTTGTGTAAACATTCATGGAATACTTGTACATTTACGTATAACACATGGCTCACCAAATATTTTTTCGAGCAGGATTCGAACCTAGGTTCTCTAGCGTTGAAGTTTTCACGTGTTCCTCATATATTATAATAAATTTCTAAATTTAGCATACAAAATAACAATTTTTACCTTGTTCGTCTTATTCACACCTATTTAACCTTCAAAATAAGGCTGTACTTGTATGTTGCCATTTTTTGTTACATATTATATGTGTTGCTAAGTTAGCGATAATTTGAGTTCTTTATTTATTTTTAACATATAAATAGATTTTTAATTTAAATATAAATGGGATATGTATTAAATGGATATATTCAATTACATAAAAAATGTCTATAATGGTAAAAGAAAATAAAAAAATTATAACGAGAACGAAGTCGCTGAAATTTACAAATCTAGTTAAATGTATGTAAACCATTTCTTAATATAGTAAATAAAAAAGCGTGAGCCGCTTGTATGATATAAAATATTTAACTGATCAAAAAAACATGATAAATAAATATTTATTATAATAAATGTTAATATTATTATATAAATATCTGATATGTGTTGATGTAAGTTTTTTTATTTATGATTATTATTAGCAACGTTCTAGAAATAGTAATATATTAAAGAAAATAATAACAAAACATATAATATATATATATATATATATATATATATATATATATATATATATATATATATATATATATATATATATATATTAAAGATTCAATAAACCTGTTTTTCATGACTTCGCATCGATATTTGTATCAACAAATATAAAGATACATTGTTTTCTGATTGCATCAAGTAAACTGTGGCCGTACCGTTCAGTCGTCTCGCGTCGGCCCTGCGGCGCAGACTCTATCAGAGTTGGTCGTGGTTTCAAAATACGCGAGTGCTTGTGCTTTATTTTTTTATTATTTCTCTCTTTATTATCTGTGATTTGTGCCAGGATTTATATTTTGAAAGGTTTGTTTAATTTTTTCTTAAAATTTGGCGGGCTTTTTACTGTCAATGTCATTGGTCTTGGCCAATTTTATTTTATATATTATAAATATGTATTAAAATATGATTGCGTACGATAAATGGTAATTACAAAAAAATGCATATTTTATATTGCATAATCTGATATCTCGGAAGGTTGCTTTAATTTAGGTTTAATTGTGCGCCAGTTTCGTTGTTTTTTTTTGTTTTTTTTTAAACATTCATTCTAGGAATTTGATATAAAGGATTTTAATAAATTCTTAATTTTTATCTTAAGCACAATATTATACTTATATTTTTTTAATTTAAAACATCTTACTGGGTGTTTAAAGCAAATGTTTTTTTTTTAATTTTATTAATTGTTGATGAACATATTTTTGTGGGAATTTTCAGAATAATTACATACATTTGATAATTATATGATGGTGTTTACTTGGTCAATAGATTTTTTAAGTATATTCTTTTTTTGAAAAATAAAAACAGTGAAGTCTAGACATACAGAAGACGCCATAACAAATAGCAATTTATACAAAATAGAAAAATAAAATGATTGTTGTTATTCCTTATTAGATAACGAGTTTTGTTACCGTTTTTTTATTGATTCGGTCAGTTGACTTCACTTAAACTTTCCGTTTCCTACAAGTTACTATTCACTGGTAAAAAAAATTGATAATAAAGGAAGTTACGAATGAACCATGTTCTTTTGATGAATGTATCAAAAGAGCGTTAAATAATAAAAAAAATATATGATTTTGTTTCATCGTTACGTAGGTACAATATATTAATTAAAATTGCATAGTAAAATGAAATACGTATAAAGCGAGAGGTCGCAAGTTGGATTCCATTGTCGGCCAATAGTTATACTAGCCGTAACGTTATATTTCGACCTCGACAATAGAGAGAGAGAGAGAGAGAGAGAGAGAGAGAGAGAGAGATCAGGGAAGGAATAAGAAGATCGATATTTTTGATAGTTTTATGAATATGGACCTTCAATCTTCATACATATTTGCTGTCAAAAATTTTAGATTTTAAATTTGTGTCTATGGGAAAAATAAAATGAAATTCTAATAGTAAGATATTTAAATACTTTTTTGGGTAGCAGAAAAATTTTATTAATAAAGAAAGAAAAAGTCAAGGGTGACCTTTTTCCTTTTTAAATCTTAATAGAGTGGCTTTCAAATTCTTTATTTGTTATTTTACATATCCTTTGATAAGTTGCTTTTTTTTCCCCCATTATTATTGTTTATATCTGTAAATGATGTCATAACTATATTTTTTAATACTATTTTTAGAGGAAGATGTTTTTTTAAATTAATTTAGATCTAGGTGTATATAGGTACCTATAGGTCCTCTCGTTTTCATGTAATCTAAAAATATAATCAATATTTGAAAAACTTTTGTAAATCTTACTTCTTACTAATATTATAAATGTGAAAGTTTAGATGTTTGGACGTTTGGATGGATGTTTGTTACTCAATCATACCTGAACGGCTGAACGGATCTGGATGAAATTTGGCACAGACATAGATTATAGTCTGGAATAGGATATAGACTACTTTGTATCTCGGAAAAATATACGGTTTCCGTGGCATACATTGGTTTTTGTTTTTCTAGAAGCGAACCCGATAGTACTTTGTTCTTACATAATTTCCGCAATAAAGAAGTATTTACACAATTTTAATCTATTATATCACGGAAAATTTTATCTTGGTGTACGAAATTTTCTGTTACCTTTAAATTTTTTTTACACATTTATTAAATTAACAATCTATTCAATGTCGTAATAATTAGCCCGGACCCAAACAAATACGAATTTCATTTTTTTTATGTTTAGGTTTTTGATACTTGTAGCATAAAATTAATTACATTACTTTAATGAAGTGAATGAATTTTGTATTAAAAGACATTTCTTTTAAAAATAATTAAATATGTGTGTATTCAGCACTTTATAAGGTCCCACTGTTGGGCACAAACCTCCCTTTAATATGAGGGGCGACATGATACTATCAGGTCATAATCCACCACGCCGGACAAGTTCGGGTTGGCGGACATTAAAAACTTGCCAGGTTCTAAATTTCTAGGCACTGTAAATTACTATATTTTAGATAGCAACAATGATGCCTAGCTCTAGTTTTTACTTTTCTCTATTGTAGAGACTGTCTACATATAATTCATACAAACCAGCTTTTATTCAAACCAGCCTTAACTTTGACGTATCTACGTGTTTTCCATAAAATAAATTACATCTACATAAACAATAAACATCGACGAAGGAAAATTTTTCTAAACAACATTGAAAACTGCCAAAAAATTCCGTACCTTAAAAAACTAATACAACTAAACACGTATGAATATATATATATATATATATATATATATATATATATATATATATATATATATATATATATTCATACGTGTAATTTAAATTTTATTTGTTTATCAGAAACCTTATAACTTATTTATTGGATTGAATTTATCTAGTAATTGAATAAAAATGACCTTAAAGGTCAATATTTTATTTACCAGGAGAAGGACAATACACACATGGAGGATAAGGTATGGAGTGTACTCCATACCCTTGGTCTATGGGTGAAAATTCAATTTAGGTTTTGTTTACAAACAAGTAGATCGATTAATTGCTCCAATGTACAAACGGTTACGTGTTGTACTCATTCATATGAATGCCTTATTGTTTAAGCATGTTTTTATTGAGATATTGAGAGTTGATTGCTTTTGTCTTATATCAAAGATGAGATAAGTAGGGCCGGTTAGTTATGTATAATAATCGTGAAGTTTGAATCATACTCTGCTTCATCTATGTACCTATATA